CATGAAAGTTGACTGCATGACTTTGGGCCAACCACTAGGAGACAGTGAATTTTAGTCCTTCCATAGGCATGAAAGTTGATTGGGCGCCTATGGGCCAATCACTAGGAGACAGTGAGTTCTAGTCCTGCCTTAGGCATGAAAGCCAGCTGGGTGATTTTGGGCTAATCACTAGGAGATAGTGAATTCTAGTCCTCCCATAGGCATGAAAGTCGATTGGGCGCCTAAGGGCCAATCCCTAGGAGACAGTGAGTTCTAGTCCCGCCTTAGGCATGAAAGTTGACTGGGTTCCTATGGGCCAATCACTAGGAGACAGTGAATTCTAGTCCCGCCTTAGGCGATGAAAGCCAATTGGGTGATTTGGGGCTAATCACCAGGAAACAGTGAGTTCTAATCCCACCTTAGGCATGAATGTCAACTGGGAAGCTATGGGCCAATCACTAGGAGATCATGAGTTCTAGTCACGCCTTAGGCACACGAAAGCCAACAAAATGAAATTGGGAGGGGCCCTTGGTGCTCTCTTGAGCTCTCTTTGTTTTCTTGGGAAGCTATGGGCCAACCACTAGGCGACCGTGAGTTCTAGTCTCATTACCTAAAGTGGGTAACATCACCGATGCTAGTCTCGAAATGAAATTGGAAGAACGAAGAGTCGGATGTCTTCGTCTCCTCTCGGAAAGCATGTCTCGGCTCGCCTGCTGGCATGAGCTTGTTCTCCGTCCCCCCCACCCACCCCCGTCCCCAGGGAGAAGAGTCACACACCCCCTCCCCAATTATTCTTTTTCACACCCGCATCTGCATACAAATAGGGCACTCTCGCACACTCGTGCCACTTGAGGCTGCTGGAGGAAAAAAAAAAACAAAAAAAACCCAGAATCCGTCCTGACGGTCCCATCAGGACATCCTACCTCCTCCCTTCGTTCCTCCTCCCCGCTCGTCTCCCCACCCCCACCCCCCCACAGGCCCACCACACACCCCTCCCCAGACGCCCACGCCCGAGCAAACCCCATCCCTTGCCCCCATAACAAATTAGAAATGTGAGAACTCTCCTTGTTGATCAAAACATAAATTATTCTTCGTAGACAGGGCACCCACGAGCTCCAGAGAGGGTAATTGGTGCCACCTCTGATTCCTTAAAAGGTGAATATCGTAATTGGAAAAGAGGTGTGAGTGGCTCACTCAGGCTCGGAGGAGGATTGTTCGGGGGGGGGGGGGGGGGGAGGGCCATGAAAGCGTTCATTTTCGCAGCTTGGGAGATGTCTATGGCCGTGTTATGGATTCTAATTATCAACACAGCGGGGGAAAGGGAGGGGGGCGAGCTTGCCCGTCCCCGGTCTGGGAGTCCTTAGTTACCCCATTGTTCTCTCCGACAACGTGCCACTCGGCTGCTGAAGTGGGTGGGTAGGGGGAAAGCCTGTTGGAATTCTTGATTTGGGGTGGTTGGGGGGGGCTCGGCGCCATCCTTTTCTCATTGGTCTCCCCCACCTGTGATGTTTTAAAATTGTATTATGTATTGATGCTGTTTTTAAGAACTGTCCAGTTTCCCTCGCGGTAAGGTTCTGGATGGTGTACAATAAAATCTTAAAAAGGCATAAAAAAAAAAAAAAAGGAACACTGAACGACCAAAATTGAGCTCAAAAGTTAATGAGCCCACAGCACAGTCCTCCTCCTCCTCTCCTTCTCCTTCTCCTCTACTCCAGAAACCTCATTCCCTTCTAGCACTGATGGTGTTATCTAGTTGGGTAATAAAACGTCTGCAAGAAAAACACCAAGCTCAGAGAGCACTAAGGACTACAGCCTCCTCCTCCTCCTCCTCCTCCTCCTCCAACTCCTCTAATTCCTCCAACTCCTCCACCCCAGAAACCCCAGTTCCTTCTAGCACTGATGATGTTACCTAGATGGGTAACGAAACATCTGCAAGAAAACAACCAAGCTCAGAGAGCACCAAGGACCCCGTAGCAAAATTTTACTAGATCAGTAAGGGAATTGCTAAGAGCTGCTAAGAAGAGATTGGACGACCATTTGTCTGGAATGATACAGGGTTTCCTGCCTGAGCAGAGGGTTGGGCTAGAAGACCTCCAAGGTCCCTTCCAACTCTGTTATGATTCTGTACTGATTCTGTTATGGGCCATCTAAATGACCCTAAGCCAAATATATATATATATATATATATGAATATTGACTTTATCACCCTTGCAAAATTGGGGAGCAGGAGCGGTCATGGGAACAGGAATTAGCTATGTGTAGCCTAATGAAAAGAAGGACTAAGGTGGGACATGATAGCAGTCTTCCAATATCTCAGGGGCTGCCCCAAAGAAGAGGGAGTCAAGCTATTCTCCGAAGCACCTGAGGGCAGGACAAGAAGCAACGGATGGAAACTCCTCAAGGAGAGAAGCAACTTAGAACTAAGCAGGAATTTCCTGACAGTGAGAACAATCAGTGGAACAGCTTGCCACAAGAAGTTGTGAATGCTCCAACACTGGAAGTTTTTAAGAAGAGGTTGGATAACCATTTGTCTGAAGTGGTGTACGGTTTCCTCCCTAAGCAAGGGGTTGGACTAGAAGACCTCCAAGGTCCCTCTCAACTCTTGTTATTCTTGAGACGCGCAGATTCCCATCGGCGGGGGTGAGCCCCGGGATTTGGGGGTCTGCATGGCTTGAGTCCCCGTTGCGTCTCGAGGGCGCCCTCCTGAATGCTAATCAAAAGTGGAAAGGACAAGATGGAAAGCACGGGCTGGGGGGGGGGGGGCTCCTAGCTGAGAGCGGGGTTGGGTTTTTATAACGAGCAAACCCGTTTTTGTGTGTGTGTTTTTTTGCAAACGAGCAAAGCCACCGACTTTTTGCGCGCGTTCCCTTTTTTTTCCATCCCTTCTTGCGAGATTCCAGCTGGTTTCAAGCTGCTGTTTCAAGACGGCTTCTCCGCTTGACTTTTGCTGTTTGTGTGTGTATGTGTGTGTTAATGCCGAAAGGCGAGCGGAGGCCACGAGGAGGCGGCCAGGGAGGGACTCCGAGGAGAGAGAGCGCGAGAAAGAGAGGAAAACGTGTGGATTCATGTAGAGGCTTCATCATATTCCACTTATCCGCCGTACCGCCCCGACGAAATTCGGCAGATGGATGCTTGGTCATGCCGTCGGCGCAGAGGGGTTAACTCCTCGGATTTAGCTTTCTGTCGTTTCCACGAGAGCGTTGACAACACTTTTCACCGTGTTGATTCCCAGATGTGCGTGCCCGGCGGCTTCCCCCGAGCCCTGTGCTTTTGGTTGGGGGGTGGAGAACGTCGGATAAAACAGCGCACCTTTCCGGTCGGAGTGCGCATCAAATATTCATGGATCTCCGATTTGCACACATCGGGGTTGATAAATGGGTCTGACGTGGAATTGAGGCGGCGGGAGAAACCGCTGCTTTGCCGGAGAATCGGCCGACGAATTGTGTCACTTTCCCCTCCTTGTTTTCGCGGGTGTGCATATGCAAAAAATTAAAATCTCGGGTGTTTTCCCCGCGTCATTATAAATAGGTTGGTTAAAATATTTAAAATCCTGGTTAGAAGACCTCCAAGGTCCCTTCCAACTCGGCTATTCTATTCTAGAGCCGTAGATTATTGCTAGTCCAGAAGTCTAGTCCTTTCCTCAGTGCCGTTATAACTTTGAACGGTCACTAAATAAACAATCGTGAGTCGAGGACTACTGTATACAGAGTGCTTTTCTTCTCAAACAAAAATAAATAAATAACAAGATTCAGCTGTGCTGACTTAAGAAAGTTGCACGCAAGACCTTTGCTCCTATTCTCCCTTGGAATGGAACGGGCACCCTGCGAGCCCATCTCATTCCTTTATGGTTCGCTGCGTTGGGCAAACGTAGAAAAAAAGTAGCTAATTCAGAGATCAGGCCAAGCGTAATATGGGGGCAAACGTGAATTTCGTCAGGAGGCTCATTCTAGGGCAGAGGCTCCCAACCTTTTGGGCAGGAGGGACCGGGTCCATGGAGAGAGGTTTTTTTTTTTTCCGTGGGTTGGAGGGGATGTGGTTTGTGTGATGCCTGCATCCCACGGATGGGACTTTGCTTGATTGTGTGGCCCAATTTCTGGCATGCTGCACATCAGTGCCAGGCCACAGTCCCAGGGTTGGGGATACCTCTTCTAGGGAATTGGAGGCTAAAACATATGAAGAACGGTTGCAGGAACTGGGAATGTCTAGTTTAATGAAACGAAGGACTAGGGGAGACATGATAGCAGCCTTCCAGTATCTCAGGGGCTGCCCCAAAGAAGAGGGAGTCAAGCTATTCTCCAAAGCACCAGAAGGAAAGACAAGAAATAATGGGTGGAAACTAATCAAGGAGAGAAGCAACCTGGAACTAAGGAGAAATTTCCTAACAATGAGGACAATTAAATCAGTGGAACAACTTGCCTCCAGAACAGTGGTGGGTTCCTCCCGGTTCGGTCCGGTTCGGCCGAGCCGGTAGCGGTGACGATATGACGTCACCGAACCGGTTCTTCCCCCCCTCCCACTCCCCCCACCCCCCCACGTTATTCTTACCTTTTATTTGGTCCCACCCCCAATCTATTGCTGCCTCCTGAGTCCCAGCTGATGACTAGAGGGGGGGAAAAAACTGTTTAAACTCTTGCCGCGGGGCTTCAAAGGGCCGCCCTACAGCTGATCAGTGTTAAAAGCAAACAAATGAGTCGGGTCGTAAGTGTCGAGGACTGGTCGTAAGTGCAAGGACCTTCCAGAAATGACTCTGACCAGCTAGCCACGCCCACCTAGTCACATGACCTCCAAGCCACACCCACAAAATAAGCCACGCCCACAGAACCGGTAGTTAAAAAAATTTAGAACCCACCCCTGCTCCAGAAGTTATGAATGCTCTAATAGCAGGGGGTTGGACTAGTAGACCTCCAAAGTCCCTTCCAACTCTGTCATTCTGTTAGTTTCTTTGAGAAACTCGCTCCAAAGGTTTGGACTTTCGCTTAGATATTCATCTCCTTTTTCTTCTTCTCCTCCTCCTCCCTCAGCACCTTTGGAGAGCTGAAGACGGTCCGCCTGCCGAAGAAAATGTTTGGAACAGGAACTCATCGCGGCTTCGGCTTTGTGGATTTCCTGACCAAGCAGGATGCCAAGGTGAGGGAACGCTTCTGCACGCATCCCCCTGTTCTGACCTGGGCTTCCTGAGTCAGCAAAACACACCAGTAGTCCTAAAAACCTGTTTTATTTTAACAGCTGTGAATTCTGTTCATTCACAGATGAGTCCCAAATAGTTGTAAAGAGTCCTTCGGGATAAGGCTGATAAATCACCCACCTTGATCTCCCTTGACACGCTGCCAAAGACCTCATTGGCAAAGCCACGCGGAGTCCAGAATCAAACAGAGCTTCAGGCTTTAAACTGCACAGAATTAACAACGTTGCTTCCTGCAAAGGCCCACGTGCCTTTGCTCCTCTTTTTTAAGTATTATGGAAGTGGCTAATCATCTCCAAGCCTTACTCCCGAGTCGCCCCTTTTGTTTTAACTGTTCTTGCCTTCTGGCAGTTCTGGTAGGAATCGAAATGTCCTTCCATTTTTGTGCATACCATAATCTTGCTGCGGTCAACATACAGTAGTGGCCAAAATTGTGGGAATCTTTTGGGAAAAGTGTATTTTCTAAAACTAGCTTATAACACCACTTTCTTTGGGAGTAGTACCATAAAAGTATATATCAATGGAAAGATCATTGAATCAAGAATGTCATGCCATCACTTTTATGAAGGATTTGCTATTAGAATAGCAGTTACAGTATAAAGAAGAAAAGTGAAACACGTAGAAAAAATGAGATATACAAAAATTATCACCATAGAAAAAACGAGATATACAGAAATTATCACCATGTCAGTTAATACTTAGATGGGTCACCTTTAGCACGAATGACGGCCTTACAACGTCTTCCCATGGAGTGAACCAAGTCTTTGAGTTCTGCAGCTGTTCTAATGTGAAACCAAGATTGAAGGATGGCTTCTATTAACTGGGTTTTATTGCTGGGTCGCTTCTGACTAACCAGTTTCTTTAGTCAGCTGCATAGATTTTCAATTGGGTTAAGGTTTGGGCTATTCCCAGGCCATTCCAGCAGTGGAATAGGATGATCTTGAAATGCCCCCAAAAAAAAAGCAGTGTTATTAGCCATCCAATCTCAAAAATACACTTTTCCCGAAAGGTTTCCACAATTTTGGCTTCCACTACTGTATGTTACTAACTTACCAACTGCCGTGATTCCCTTAACAAATGTCTCGCTTAAAGCAACAGAAATCTTGAGCTCAATTGTCGTCTGAGGTCGAGGAGTCGCCGTACGTCTGCATGTGTTCTTAACATTTGTGAAAACATCCTACCCTAGTATTTTCTCCAAAGGCAGCCAGCCCTTATTCTGATATAACCCTTGACAAAAGGAAGCCCAGAGAGTGACGAAGTCTCATCTGCATACTTTACCGTATTCATAGCAAATCCAAGATGACCCATTTTTAAAGTATCCTTCCCTTCTGTATAATTACACCATACAGGCGAAAGGAATTTGGAGAGCATCAAACAGCCCTTCAGATATATTTTCCAATCCCAAAAGGAAGCTGTTTATCATAGAAACTGTATTTTTTATTCCGAGGGACTAACAGAACAGAAATATTCAAGCAAAACATGATCTTTCTCAGGATGCTGAAATAAAGAGGGCCATGTCTAATGTCTCAGCTCCCAAATAACCAGGATAAAATGTCTATGGTTGTCCCAAAGGTGCTTTTAGGTAGAGAGAGAGATAGAAGATAGATAAATATTAGATAGATAGATAGATAGATAGATAGATAGATAGATAGATAGATAGATAGATATGCATAGATGATAGATATAGATGCATAGATGATAGATAGGATAGATAGATGATAGATAGATAGATGATAGATAGATAGATAGATAGATAGATAGATATAGATGCATAGATGATAGATATAGATGCATATAGATGCATAGATGATAGATAGGATAGATAGATAGATAGATAGATAGATAGATAGATAGATAGATAGATAGATAGATAGATAGAGATGCATAGATGATAGATATAGATGCATATAGATGCATAGATGATAGATAGGATAGATAGATAGATAGATAGATAGATAGATAGATAGATAGATAGATAGATAGATAGATAGAGGATATAGGTAATAGAGAGAGAGAGAGAAGATTGGTAGATATAGATGCATAGATGATAGATATAGATGCATAGATGATAGAAGATAGATAGATGATAGATAGATAGATAGATAGATAGATAGATAGATAGATAGATAGATAGATAGATAGATATAGATGCATAGATGATAGATAGATAGATAGATAGATAGATATATGATAGATAGATAGATAGATAGATAGATAGATAGATAGATAGATAGATAGATAGATAGATAGATAGATAGAGGATATAGGTAATAGAGAGAGAGAGAGAGAAGATTGGTAGATATAGATGCATAGATGATAGAAGATAGATAGATGATAGATAGATAGATAGATAGATAGATAGATAGATAGATAATAGATGATAGATAGAGGATATAGGTATAGAGAGAGAGAGATAGAAGATAGATAGATAGATATAGATGCATAGATGATAGAAGAGAGAGAGAGAGGATACAGTTGAGAGAGATTGAAGATAAATAGATAGATATAGATGCATAGATGATAAATATAGATGCATAGATGATAGATTAGATAGATATGAGAGAGAGAGATAGAAGATAGATAGAATAGATGCATAGATGATAGAATAGATAGATAGATAGATAGATAGATAGATAGATAGATAGAGATGCATAGATGATAGATAGATAGATAGATAGATAGATAAACACAGAGAGAGAGATTGTGTGTGTGTATATATGTATATGTACAGTATATATATTATAAAAGTAGGTGTAATATAGTGATATCCCTGGGGGTGGGGGAAGCTGGAATTTCTGTTTGCTATTCAAGCTTGTATCGGAAAACCCACCCCTCAAGTATCTAAAGAGAAGAATACTCAGGCACATAAAACCGGGTGTTGCTTCGGATGTTTTTGTGTGTAGCTCCTGTTCAGAGGAAGAAAGCCTGGTTAGTCTATTGTAATGTTTGTTGTCTTCCTTTTTTCCGCAACCGTTTGTTCCTCCGTGGTGCGGAAGGACGGCATTAAAAAGTCAACAGTTCTTCCCAACAACAACAACAACAAAAAAAAAAAAACACCCTCCAACTAAGAAATGAATCTTCTCTCTTTTGGCAGAAAAGGCTCAGCTGCCATGCCTTGGCCATGCCCTCTGCTCTGATCACCCTTTTGTTTTGGAGAAAGAATGAGAAATCTATCAACCCCTCTAATGCTGTCGATTCTTTGTGTCTCTCACTAATGGTTTTCTCCCTCCGGATTTGCCGGGATGAGCATTTAATAGGGCAATGGGGAAAGAGGAGATGGAGTGGCCCCATCCGCCAAATTATGAGCGTTTAGATCTGGTGAGCTGGGGGAACCCCCGGGGAGGTGACCTCGGAGGCTTCCATGCTTGATCTACGATGTCTGTCATGGTAGAACCCCAGACGGTTCCCGCCGGTTTACATCTGTGTAAACATCTGTGCCCACATGGCCCTGCCCAGTTTACATCCGTGTGTCAGCCCACATGGCCCTGCCCAGCTTACATCTGTGTGTCAGCCCACAAGGCCCTGCCCGGCTTACATCTGTGTGTCAGCCCACAAGGCCCTGCCCGGCTTACATCTGTGTGTCAGCCCACATGGTCCTGCCGGCTTACATCTGTGTGTCAGCCCACATGGTCCTGCCCGGCTTACATCTGTGTGTCAGCCCACATGGTCCTGCCCGGCTTACATCTGTGTGTCAGCCCACATGGTCCTGCCCGGCTTACATCTGTGTGTCAGCCCACATGGCCCTGCCCAGCTTACATCTGTGTGTCAGCCCACATGGCCCTGCCCGGCTTACATCTGTGTGTCAGCCCACATGGCCCTGCCCGGCTTACATCTGTGTGTCAGCCCACATGGCCCTGCCCAGTTTATATCTGTGTGTCAGCCCACAAGGCCCTTCCCGGCTTACATCTGTGTGTCAGCCCACAAGGCCCTGCCCAGCTTACATCTGTGTGTCAGCCCACAAGGCCCTGCCCGGCTTACATCTGTGTGTCAGCCCACATGGTCCTGCCCAGCTTACATCTGTGTGTCAGCCCACAAGGCCCTGCCCGGCTTACATCTGTGTGTCAGCCCACATGGTCCTGCCCAGCTTACATCTGTGTGTCAGCCCACAAGGCCCTGCCCAGCTTACATCTGTGTGTCAGCCCACATGGTCCTGCCCAGCTTACATCTGTGTGTCAGCCCACAAGACCCTGCCAACAGTGCTGTTGGGTTGTTTGCACACTCGTGTGGATGGCCCCTTCGCTCTTAATGTACGGGTAGACCTTCGACTGGACAAGCATGGATTTAGTGTATAACTGTTCCAAGTGATAACGGCACCGGAAAAGGGGACTTATGACCGGTTTTCACACTTAACGGCCATTGCCAGCCCTGGACGCACAATCAAAAATGTAGACACTCAGCAATTGGCTCGTATTGAGGATTAGCAAAACTGATCACCTTGAAACCCTGTCCAATTGGAAACATCCCATCTTGATCATTTTTGGAAGGGTTCCGAAATCCAGACGGCTGTTTCCGGTTCGAAGCGTGCTCTCCTGGGGCTCAGAATATTTGAAACGTTTCACTCCCCAAGTGGAGTCTTTTAGATTTGAAATATAAATGTTTTGCGCTCCCCTAATCGCACCGCGACTCATGGTTGGTAAACAACGACGTTGATACACAAATGGCTTTGTTACCAACTTACAATACTTGCTGGAAGAGATCCATTTTCTTAGGCTCCCGAGGCTGTGGCTGTTGTAATTATTCATGACATTGAAGCCTGCAGTTGTCAGGTGTGCGTTACACAAAGGTTGCACAATTACACCAGCTCGCTTGCCAACCGCTAGGTGGCAGTTTTACGATCTCCGTTAATTTGGTGCTGCCATTCAATTGCAGCAGGAGGAGGAGGACACGGCTACAGGAATTTGTAAAGGCTCTGTTGGGGTTTGACTTTCGGAACGGAATGCTCCTGGATCCAGTCATTGTCCCAAATGAAAACTGAATCAACTCAGCTTGGTGTGTGGGTGTGTGTGTGTGTGTGTGTCTGTGTCTGTGTGTGTGTGTGTGTGTGTGTTTAATGAATGATACAATGCAAACCGTTGACTTCATGTGAAGAGAGCTGATCTGTGCATTCCTGATAAGTCCTTGCAGCTTTAGCTGTCAGGTTGCTGTCCAGGGTGCTGAACTGAATTTTTTTTTTTTTATTAGCCATATATAATTTTTGCCATATATATATATATTTTTTAATTTGATTTATATGCCGCCCTTCTCCGGAGACTCAGGGCGGCTTACAATGCGTTAAGCAATAGCCTTCATCCTTTTGTATATTTATACAAAGGCAGCTTATTGCCCCCACAAACTGGGTCCTCATTTCACCTACCTTAGAAAGGATGGAAGGCTGAGTCAACCTTGAGCCTTGGCGAGATTCGAACCTGCAGTAATTGCAGGCAGCTGTGTTACTTACAGGGTGCCTTAAACCACTGTACTACCAAGGCTCCTTAAGCAATAGCCTTCATCCTTTTGTATATTTTATACAAAGTCAGCTTATTGCCCCACAAACTGGGTCCTCATTTCACCTACCTTAGAAAGGATGGAAGGCTGAGTCAACCTTGAGCCTTGGCGAGATTCGAACCTGCAGAAATTGCAGGCAGCTGTGTTAATTACAGGGTGCATTAAACCACTGTACTACCAAGGCTCTCATCATATAGCGGTGATGGCTAACCTTTTTGCCATGGCATGCCAGGAGGGGTCACACACACGCATGCCCACACCATAATTCTATGCGGCCCGCTTCCGCACATGCGCGCACAACCCGCTCCCCGCTCCTGGCACGTGATGGCCAGGTAGGCCTGTTTTTCTTTCTCACCTGGCTCCAGGGCCTCTTTAGGAGTCTGGGGAGGGCAAAAACAGCCTTCCCCCGACACACCCCGGAGGTCCTCCGGAGGCTGTTCAGGTGGGGAAGGCTGTTTTCGTCCTCCCCAGACTCCTAGAGAGGCCCTAGAGGCTGGGGACAGGAACCTGAAGTTGTAACAGGCCGTTTTCGGCCTCCGGAGAACCTCCGGGGGGGGGAGGCCATTTTCGGGCCTTCCTCCTCTCCCGCCCCAGGCCCTCCAGACACAGGAAACAGCCTATTTCCCTACTTCCGGTGGGCCCAGAAGACCTGAAAATCAGCGTGCGCTGGAGCTGAGCTCGCGTGCCCACTGATATGGCTATGAGTGCCACCTGTGGCACGCGTACCATAGATTTGCCATCACGGCCATATAGCATTATATATGGCATTGCTCAAAAGTTCTGAAGATGTGAATCCCAAACATACAATACGAGAAGTCTTTGACTTGCAACCATTTGTTTGAAGTTAGGATTGAAGTGCAACATTTAGTTTTAAGTAGGTATTTTAAGATAGGGAGATGGGAAAGCATTCACAAAGGCACTTTATATGCTGCCTATCCGTCTTCTGTCCAAAATGAGGTGGTTTTGGAACAGCCAAGATAAAGGCTTGGAAGCTGCGTTCCTATGACGGGCCTAGCCAGTCAGCTGAAACCCCCAAGCCCTTGCCTTGAGATACCCCAAGCTTGGCTCAAGTTGAATCTTAGTTTGGTTTTCCTTTTCTTCTTTGCAGCTCAAAACGTGTTGGGCGAAACCAGCCCTTTTAATTAGTTGATGGTTCAGTGCATTTTGCAAACCTCGAAAAATTACCTAGTTAATTCAGTGATCAGGGTCAGTGTGTGGTACAAATGCAAAATCTTTCACGGGTGCGTTACAGTTCTTCGGACAAAAGGCCACTCCTTGAAGCTCCTTCTTAAAATCTGACATTAATAATAATAATAATAATCATCATCATCATCTTCTTCTTCTTCTTCTTCTTCTTCTTCTTTGCTTCTTCTGCTTCTTCTGCTTCTTCTGCTTCTGCTTCTTCTCTTCTTCTTTCCTCCCTCCTCTTCTTCTTGTTCTGCTGCTTCTGCTTCTTCGTCTTCTCCCTCCTCCTCCTCTTTTTCTCCTTCTCCTTTTCCTCTTCCTCCTCCTCCTCTTCTCCTCCTCCTCCTCCTCCTCCTCTTTCTTCCTCCTCCTCCTCCTTCTCCTCCTCCTCCTCCTCCTCTTCTTGTTCTGCTTCTTCTGTTTCTGCTTCGTCTTCTTTCTTCTTCCTCTTCTTTTTCCTTTTTCCTCTTCCTCCTCCTCCTCTTCTTCTCCTTCTCCTCCTCTTCTTCTCCTCCTCCTCTTCCTCCTCCTCCTCCTCCTCTTCTTGTTCTGCTTCTTCTGTTCTGCTTCGTCTTCTCTTCTTCTTCCTCTTCTTTTTCTCCTTTTCCTCTTCCTCCTCCTCTTTTCTTCTTCTCCTTCTCCTCCTCCTCCTTCTTCTTCTTCCTCCTCCTCCTCTTCTTTGTTCTGCTTCTTCTGTTTCTGCTTCGTCTTCTCTCTTCTTCCTCTTCTTTTTCTCCTTTTCCTCTTCCTCCTCCTCCTCCTCTTCTCCTCCTTCTCCTCTTCTTCTTGTTCTGCTTCTTCTGCTTCTGCTTCATCTTCTCCTCTTCCTCCTCTTCTTTTTCTCCTTTTCCTCTTCCTCCTCCTCCTCCTCTTCCTCTTCCTCCTCAGGGTTGAAATGTGGGATCCTTGGTTCTCTCTAAGTTTGGTGGTTTTGATGTTACCTAATTCGGTAATGAAACTTCTGCAAGAAAACCACCAAGCTCAGAGAACACCAAGGAAGCCACCATTGTCAATATCTCCTGGCATATTCTTTACACGGAGCCAAGACCTGAATGGGAATAAGGTGGCTTCCTCTGTTTTAGGGATCAGGGTTTTATTTCGCAAGGCTTGGATCAGAAACAGGGCCCTGAATAATGTCCTGCTTAGTGCTAGACCACCAACTTCGAGTGTTAAGAGATCCAAGTTTCAACTTGTGAGATCTCCAGGTAGGTGTGGAAAAGATCCTTCCTGGGATGTGGTGCTAATCCGTTGGCAGAGGATCTGGAGTGAATAAAACTAAAGGTTGGCTCAAAAACAAATTTCTCTGACAACTTGCTGAAGACGACTCTGTTTTCCTTTCCCTGCCCCGCAGAGAGCATTCGGTGCCCTGTGCCATAGTACCCATCTGTACGGCAGGAGGCTGGTGCTGGAATGGGCGGATTCGGAGGAAACCGTAGAGTCCCTGAGAAGAAAAACGGCAGAGCATTTTCACGGTTCACCTTATCTGGTTTTCGTTTTGTTTTGAATTGTGGGGGGGGGGGAAACGTTTGATGGGAAAAAATGGGGGGGCTTTGAAGAAAAAAAAATGGATGCCCTCTTCCTCCTCTTTTTTTTTTTCTTCTCCTCCTACTCCTTCTCTTCCACTTCCTCCTTTTTTTCTTTTCTCTCTTTCTCCTTTCTCTTCTCTTTTTTTTCCTCCTCCTCTTTTTTCTTCTCCTTTCTCCTCCTCCTCCTCTCTTTCTATCCTCCTCTTCTTTTCCTCCTCCCCCTCCTCTTTTTTCTCCTCCTCTCCTCCTTCTTCTTCTTCCTCTCCTCTCCTCTCCTCTTCCTCCTCCTCTCCTCCTCTTCTTCCTTTTCTTTTTCTCCTCCTCCTCCTCCTCCTCTTCTCCTCCTCCTTCTCCTTCTTCTTCTCCTCCTCTTCCGTCTTCTCCTTCTTCTCCTCCTCCTCCTTTCTCCTTCTTCTTCCTCCTCTTCCACCTCCTCTTCTTCCTCTTCCTCTTCTTTTTCTCCTCCTCCTCCTCCACCTCCTCCTTTTCAAGCATTGCAGAAATATCTGCATTTTGCTCTCTCTTCCTTCCAGCGAAATGGACAGGTTTGGCTTAGAGTGCGGCCCCAGCCAGCCAACCTCTCTCTTCCTCCCTCCTACCCCCACACCTTTGCATTGACTAACCATATTTAGCCCCACCGCTTGGTCTCTACCTTCAGGCAGCAAAGTGCCTTGAACCCTTCCCTGTTCAAAGGAACAGCACGGATGCGAGGGCGACAGAAAAGAAACTCTCCCTGCCTGCCCCCCCCCAAAACACAGCTGGGCCACAGAAAAGCGAATGGCCTGTTTCCACAAAGTCTGTTTGGAAGAGCTGACTTATGTGTATCTTTCTACCTCGCCCCTTTCACCCACCTGTTTTCCCTTTTGTTAACCCTGCAACCTGCTCCCCCACTTTCCAAACATTTGGGGCGGTCCCCACCTCTGGAGCCCAGAAAGCATTCTTGGCTGTTATTCTATTTGGAAGCCGGGAGGGAAAAAAAGCAAAGAAGACAAGAAGAACCCATCTCCTGTGTGTTATTTCAAAGCACAGGGTCTTTCAAACAGCATGCCCACAGTAGAAGCAGACTTTCAGGTATTATTTCGTGGCCGCGGTGGCCTGGGAAATCCATTGGCCAGAGCATAATAGCAGCAGCGGTATCTTTTCTTTAAAAAAAAAAAAAATCTTTTGTTTGCCGTTCTTCGGCGAAAGGGGGGGAAAATGGGGTTTGTACTGGCTTTGCCTTCGGCTTCCTCTCTTGTTTTCCTTTGTTGCTTCGGGGCTGATTCCTCCAGAGAGTCGGGCATCTCTCCATCCTTACCTTGCAGAGCTGTGTCTATGGAGATTCTCCCGTCATCTCGGTCGTGGTTACCTTTTAAGGGATCTGTTTAAGGGCTTGGTTTAAAGCAGCCCTTTTTTTAAAAGGAAAAAAGCCAAAGCAAAACTTTACAACTGCGGCAAGAAAAATGGGACAAAGCTCACTTAACAAACGTCCCGCTTAGCAAGAGAAACACTGGGCTCGATTGTGGTCGCAAGTCGAGGACTGCCTGTACTCCTCTAGTTCAGGAGGAACAACCAGTCCTGAGGTGACCAGCGACAAAATGCTAAGCTGCCAGATGAACACAGCTCTGCAAATCCCAAAAGTGTATTTTTTTTTTTTTCCAAGAGGCAACTGGACTTTCTGGTTTTTCTTTGAAGACGTTTCGCTTCTCATCCAAGGAGCTTCTTCAGCTCTGACTTGGATGGTGGGGAAGGGAAGGATTGACACTCCTTTGCAGACAGCTGGTCATTTGCATCCTTTTTAGAGGGCCGTTGAGGCCACTTGGAGAGGTTTTATCTGTGTCCTCGGGGTCACCTGAGCAGTGCAAATTGGTGTGGAGCCTTTTAGCCAAGAAACTACTGTCCTCAGTAGTTTACTGAGTTACTACTGTCAGTAGTAACTGTCAGTAACTACTGTCCTCAGTAGTTTGCACTACTGAGGACAAACACCCAACTGGCCTCAAGGACTCTCTAAAAGGATGCAAATGACCAGCTGTCTGCAAGGTGTATAAATCCTTCCATTCCCCACCATCCAGTCAGAGCTGAAGAAGCTTCTTGGATGAGAAGCGAAACGTCTTCAAAGAAAAACCAGAAAGTCCAGTTGCCTCTTGAAAAAAAAAAAATACACTTTTGGGATTTGCAGAGCTGTGTTCATCTGGCAGCTTAGCATTTTGTTGCTGGTCACCTCAGGACTGATTGTTCCTCCTGAACTAGAGGAGTACAGGCAGTCCTCGACTTGCGACCACAATCGAGCCCAGTGTTTCTGTTGCTAAGCAGGATGTTTATTAAGTGAGCTTTGTCCCATTTTTCTTGCCGCAGTTGTAAAGTTTTGCTTTGGCTTTTTTCCTTTTAAAAAATGCTGCTTTAAACCAAGCTCTTAAACAGATCCCTTAAAAGGTAAAAGTTCCCCTCGCACATATGTGCTAGTCGTTCCCAACTCTAGGAGGCGGTGCTCATCTCCGTTTCAAAGCCGAAGAGCCAGCGCTGTCCAAAGACGTCTCCGTGGTCATGTGGCCGGCATGACTCAACGCCAAAGGCGCACGGAACGCTGTTACCTTCCCACCAAAGGGGGTCCCTATTTTTCTACTTGCATTTTTTACCTGCTTTCGAACTGCCAGGTTGGCAGAAGCCAGGACAAATAACGGAAGCTCACTCAGTTATGTCGCACTAGGGATTCGAACCGCTGAAGGAGAGAAGCAACTTAGAACTAAGGAGAAACTTCCTGACAGTTAGAACAATTAACCAGTGGAACAACTTGCCTCCAGAAGTTGTAAATGCTTCAACACTGGAAGTTTTTAAAGAAGAGATTGGATAACCATTTGTCTGAAGTGGTGTAGGGTTTCCTGCCTGGGCAGGGGGTTGGACTAGAAGACCTCCAAGCTCCCTTCCGACTCTGTTATTCTATTCTATTAAGTTGAATCCTGCTTTTCCCTTGCAAATTGTCCCGTTTCCCCCCTCCCCAAAAAAGGAGCCCCTTAAATCCTTTCTGATGGAACGAAGCATGCAGAAAGCAGAATACCTGACTGGTGTGAATCGGACCGACTCCAAATTGAAGTCTTGATTCGGTTTGGGGGTGGGGGGAGAGGGGGGGGGGGTGGGGAAGGAACTGGGTCCGATTCACCCTTTTTCAACGGAGAGAGGATCAAAAAGGAACCTCATTCCGATGGCATTGAGCTGGATTTCCGAAAAGGCCGCAGGGGAAAAGCTAACCGGGTCTGCCCGGCAGCGTCTGAATCTTTTCAGAGGCCTCTGATTCAATTTGTCTGTTTGATTTGGCTTTCCGATTCAATTAAGCCCCGTCAATTGGAGGCGGAAATTAAATCAAATCTCCTTCAAAAGAGGAATCTCCCCTCCCCCCTCCCCCAAATCCATTTTTTGTGTGTGTGTGTGTGTGTGTGCTGAACGCAGCTTGGCAAAGCTGGGTTGCAGGATCTTGAGAGCGTAATAAGAAACCCTTGATCTCCCAGGGTAATCAACCAGTGCCTGTCTGCCTTCCTGCCTTCCATCCATCCACCTACCCATCCACCCATCTATCTATCTATCTATCTATCTATCTATCTATCTATCTATCTTTCTATCCATCCATCCATCCATCCATCCATCTATCCCTCTTTCTCTCTTTCATCTATCTATCTAATCTATCTACCTATCTTTCTATCCATCCATCTATCCCCTCTCTCTCTATCATCTATCTATCCATCCATCCCTCTCTCTCCTTCCCTCTTCCTCCTTCTCTTCTCTTCCTATTCTCTTCTCTTCACCGCCCTTCTATTCTATTCTGTTCTGTTCTGTTCTGTTCTGTTCTGTTCTGTTCCGTCCGTTCCGTTCCGTTTTCCATTCTTATTCTATTCTATTCTATTCTCCTTTCATCTTCCTCCTTCTCCTTCCCCTTCTCTTCTAATTCTCTTCTCTTTCCCTCGTCCTCCTTCTCTTCTCTTCCTATTCTCTTCTCTCGTCTATTCTGTTCTCCTTCCCTCTTCCTCCTTCTCCTTCTTTTCTAATTCTCTTCTCCTTCCCTCTTCCTCCATCCCATCCCATCCCATCCCAACCCCGTCTATTCTATTCTATTCTATTCTATTCTATTCTATTCTATTCTATTCTATTCTGTTCTGTTCTGTTCTGTTCTGTTCTGTTCTGTTCTGTTCTGTTCTGTTTCTATTCTGCTTTACTAACCCAACTGACATCCTTTCCATGTTGTTGCAAGAGAAGGAGGTCTCCTCATTAAGTTTCCCCTGACCCTCCCAGGCTGGCTCTGCCTTCTGAGCTCGCTCCCCCTCTTCCTCCCTTCCAATTCCAGGCTCAGCCCAGTCGGTCGGTCGGTGGGAGAATTTTCCTCCTGTCAGTTTAATTCTTTGATCGATGGGGAAGAGCAGGAAGACACAACCCAACGCAGCTGGTCTCTCAAGTTACCCCTAGCAGGAGATCTCCGGCACGGTTGGGGACGGCTGAGTGAAATGTTTGTGGAGCGCGCAGAACACAAGTCAATAGTAATTTAGCTGGATTGGGAGCAGGTTCTTCCTCCTCACGTCTGGCAGCTCCCGAGAGGCAGGAGTGCATGCCGGATTATTACTGACTCTCTCGGAAATATTTCCAAAACAATCCTCCGAGAAGCGTATGGTGTAGGTGTGTGTGTGGGGGGGGAGAGTGGTTGAGGGGGAAGGAAAGAGGTGGAAGGAAAAGCAAGCAAAGGGATGGAGAGCTATGAAAACCGTTCGGCTCCAATTCCAGCGCCGGAATTCATTTGGAAGCTCCTTTGCAAACGGCAACAGTTCTCGGGAGAAGATGTCGAACAGAAGGACAGAGTTGGAAAGGACTTTGGAGGTCTTCTAGTCCGGCCCATCCCTTCCCTCCCCCGCCTCTTAGGCTGACCTCCTTTTCTTTGAGGGGCTGCCACAAACAAAAGGGGGGCTCGAGCTATTTTCCAAAGCACCAGACAAGAAACAACGGGTTGGAAACTAATCAAGGAGAGAATCGACCTAGAACTAAAAGAGAAATTTCTTAACGGTGGGAACAATCAACCAGTGGGACAGCTTGCCTCCAGATGTTGTGAATGCTCCATCTCTGGAGGCTTTTCAAAAGAGACTGGACGGCCACTTGTCTGGGATGCTATAGGGTCTCCGGCTTGTGCAGGGGGGGTGGACTAGAAGACCTCCAAGGACCCTTGCAACTCTTGTTATCTGTGAAGTTTCCGAAAGATGCCCTAATTAATTCATGAGCCAAACTTCAAAAGAAATACAGTCATTTATTAGGAGCACCATTTCGGCATTATTCGGATGCAGTTAGAACTAATCCCACGTAGATTCACGTTCCCCTATGACCCTGTCTCTCCCCTCCTCCCTGGCCACGTCACAAATCGCATTCTCCAATTAACCACTTTGGCTGGCTGTGAAACCTAACACCCTCCTTCTGATAGCGGTCAGGAAGCATGTATGGAATGTAACTTCAGTTAGTCAATCAGCTCTATCAATTCTCCCTCCCTCCTGCTCATGGCAGCTTGAAAGCTTTGCAAGTTGACATTATCCTCCAAAGCACCTGAAGGCAGGACAAGAAGCAATGGGTGGAAACTAATCAAGGAGAGAAGCAACTTAGAAATAAGGAGAAATTTCCTGGCAGTGAGAACAATTAATCAGTGGAACAACTTGCCACCAGAAGCTGTGAATGCTCCAACACTGGAAGTTTTTAAGAAAAGGCTTGATAACCATTTGTCTGAAGTGGTGTAGGGTTACCTCCCTAAGCAGGGGGTTGGACTAGAAGACCTCCAAGGTCCCTTCCAACTCTGTTATTCTATTCTGTTCTACTTATTCTGTTAAACCCAAATAAAGTTTGCCCAATTCTATATTTGCATGACATACCGAATCCCCCCAGCAAACCATCTTATGGCACCATGCCAGGGCATGATTTACCCAGCGGGCGAGTTTGTAAAACACACTAAACGCAACTCGGTCTTAGCTCCTGCCGATGTATTGTGTGAACCCACGCTTAATATCTCTCTAGAACATTCCTCTTTTCTTCCCCATCCAATTCCGTTCGCACGAGCCGGGGCCCTGAGAATCCAATGAGGGAAAAATTGCAGTCGCGAAAGAAGAGCGAAAACGCGCGGGCCGCTCTTATGTTTTTATTTTTATCTGATGCATTTTATCTGCTTCATCTACTTAATTCTAAGCTGCCTAGAGTCACGTACGGGAGGTGGCTGGCTATATAAATCTTAATAAAAACAACGGAAATAAAACGACGAGCTGGTCGAGGCGAGCCGCGGAACGTGAGCAAAGCCGAGACGCGAAGCCACAGAATCTTCTCTAGAAACGAGCATTATTATTATTTTTTTTAACGTTTCTTCTGCCTTCAAAGACACCCTTCTGTACAATACACAATCAAACCCGGGTGTGATCCAAGCCTGCTTGTGGCAATTTCATGCACAAAACGCAATTATCACATAAAATGGTCGTCCTAGTGGACAACCATTTAAATAGGAGCCAGCCGGGTGCAGCAGCTGCCAAAAAAGCCAACACAGTTCTGGGCTGCATCAACAGAGGGATAGAATCAAGATCACGTGAAGTGTTAATACCACTTTATGATGCTTTGGTAAGGCCACACCTGGAATACTGCATTCAGTTTTGGTCGCCATGATGTAAAAAAGATGTGAAGTGTGAAGAGCCTAGATAGCTCTGCAGACAAGGCACTGCAATTTAACACCAGCTGTCTGCAATTAAAGTAAGTTCGAATCTCGCCAGGCTCAAGGTTGACTCAGCCTTCCATCCTTTCTAAGGTAGGTAAATTGAGGACCCAGTTTGTGGGGGCAATAAGCTGACTTTGTATAAAATATACAAAAGGATGAAGGCTATTGCTTAACGCCTTGTAAGCCGCCCTGAGTCTCCGGAGAAGGGCGGCATATAAATCAAATTAAAAAAAAAAAAAAGTAGCACCAACTGCCTGCAATTACTGCAGGTTCGAATCTCTCCAGGCTCAAGGTTGACTCAGCCTTCCATCCTTCCGAGGTAGGTAAAATGAGGACCCGGATTGTGGGGGCAATAAGCTGACTTTGTATAAAATAGAACACCGCTCAGGGGGGCCCAAAAAGCCCTACTAAGCAGGTATATACAAAAGTATGAAGGCTAAGTATGAAGGCTATTGCTTAACGCATTGTAAGCCACCCTGAGTCTCCAGGAGAAGGGCGGCATATAAATCAAACCAATAAATGAATGAATGAATGAATGAATGAATGAATGAATGAATGAATGAATGAATAATAAAATAATAAAATAAAATAAAATAAAATAAAATAAAATAAAATAAAATAAAATACAGTCTAAAATGAAATTGGAACGAAATGCAATAATTTAAGAGTATTCCTAAGTGAAATTAGCGGAAATTCTGCGGGTGCTTTTCCTGACTCCGAATCCAGCCAGCCCTGGCTGATGCATTAAGGGAGCTGCACCCACCCAATTCCTGCCTCGTGTTATTTCGCTTAGTGGTACATTATTGGATTCTTGAAACCTTCACTTCTGCAACTGTACAGTTGTGTCAGCATTCTCTCCCCCCCCCCCTTTTTTTTTTTTTTTTTTCTTTCCTATCCCTACCCTTCCCTTCCTCTTTCTGGCTCCAGTAATTGCTAAGAAAAAAGAAACTAAGCAAGGTTTAGAGAAAAGTGCAAAAAAAAAAAAAGAAAAGCTACCAGGAAAGCAATCAAGACTTTCTCCTCCCCATCCCACCCTGCATCTGAATAAAAATCACCAGGAGACAGTGAGTTCTAGTCTTACTTTTGGCACAAAAAGCCAGTTGGGTGATTTGGTCCAATCACCAGGAGACGGTGAGTTCTAGTCTTACTTTTGGCACAAAAAGCCAGTTGGGTGATTTTGGTCCAATCACCAGGAGACGGTGAGTTCTAGTCTTACTTTTGGCACAAAAAGCCAGTTGGGTGATTTTGGTCCAATCACCAGGAGACGGTGAGTTCTAGTCTTACTTTTGGCACAAAAAGCCATTTGGGTGACTTTGGGCCAATCATCAGGAGACGGTGAGTTCTAGTCTTAACTTCTGGCACAAAAAGCCAGTTGGGTGACTTTGGTCCAATCACTAGGAAACAGTGAGTTCTAGTCCCGTTTTAGGCATGAAAGCCAGTTGGGTGACTTTGGGCCAATCATCAGGAGACAGTGAGTTCTAGTCCCACCGTACCCATGAAAGCCAGTTGGGTGACTTTGGTCCAATCACCAGGAGGCAGTGAGTTCTAGTCCCACGTTAGCTATGAAAGCTAGCTGGGCAACCTTGGCCCAGTCACTCTCTCTCTCTCTCTCTCTCACCCCACCTGACTTCACATAGGAGCGGGAAAAACAGAAGGAGGAAATTGTGTTGGATATAGGTAGTTTGTTTAAAAAAAAAATAGTTCATACCAATAAATAAGAGGCGCCTAGAGATTATTCTTGAAATATTAAATAAAAGATGGAACCGACCGTCTTCTGAACTCGGCGCAGGCCTCCCAAAAATGTAGCTTGCTTCCTCTCTAAAGTTCTGACTCTGTATCTCAACTGATGAAGCTATATGTGGAAGTGGGGGCGGGGGGGGAGATTAAAAGTATTCCAGGCTCTTTCCCCCTCCCCCTTATTTCTCCCCCCCCCCTTCTGCCTCCCTCGACAATTGTTAAAAACATAGGAGCCAGAAGTCCCACCATCCTGGCTTCCTGTCAAGGAATTAATTGAAAAATAAAATCATTGGTGTTTGGAAGAAGGGGAGGGAACTCCCCAAATGGAGAACCGTTTGGTTGGGAATGGAAAAAGCGCAAGGATTTGGGGAAGGGGAAGCGGGGAAGGGGGTGTCCGCCTCTTGTCAGGTTAATTTCCCTTATATTGATGTTTTTCTGACATTTACTTGCTGTTTATCTGGGGAAAGCAGCTGTAATGCTGGGAGAAAATGCAGCAGCTCGTTCTGTCTGTTTATTTTACACCCCTTTTTTTTTCCCCGAGTCCTTGGGAGGAAAAGAAAAAAAGTACATTTATTTGTTTGTCGGAGAGACGGGCGTTTTGATGGGGAAAAGATTGGGATTTGAACAGCTGTTCTCCACATGGAGAGAGAGAGAGAGAGAAACGAGGGAAAAGGCAGAAAAAGAAGATTATATCAGAGGAAGGATGAGCTCCACCGTCTCCCACAATTCGCTTGTGACTTTTTAAAAAAAAAAAAAAAGAAAAAAAAAAGCCGGGGCAGTTACAGAGTGCTATACAGATCATCCTTGATTTACGACCACAATTGAGTCCGAAAGTTCCATCGCTAAGCGAGATGGTCATTCAGTGAGTTTTGCCCCCATTTTAAAACCTTTCTTGCCACTGTTGTTAAGTGAATTGCGGCAGAGAGGATAGGATAGGATAGGATAGGATAGGATAGGATAGGATAGGATAGGATAGGATAGGATAGGATAGGATGATAGGATAGGATAGGAAGGAGGAGAAGGAGAAGAGAAGAGAGGAGAAGAGGGAAGGAGAAGAGAAGGAGGAAGAGGGAAGGAGAATAGAATAGAATAGAATAGGAAGAGAAGAGAAGAGGAAAGGAGAAGAGAATTAGAAGAGAAGGAGGAGGAAGAAGGAAGGAGAAGAGAATAGAATTGGGATCAATTGACTAAGGGGACAGAAAAATTGGTACTCTGCCACTTCCACTCATCAGTGTCACTTCCTCTTGCCCAGATCCCCCTGTCAAGAAACAGCGGACAGCCATTTTAGAAGAAATCTTGGAGAAGCTCGAGGATGATGAAGGAGACAATGAAGAGAATAGCTAGAATCGTCACTTCGAAACCTAAAGGTATGTTAAGTATTCCGTTTCTAAAGAATTGACTGAGATCTTCCCTTAGTCCTCACCAACACAGTTGATCTCCTTACAGGAGATCTCCCCTTCTTCTTCTTCTTCTTCTCCTCCTCCTTCTTCTCCTCCCCCTCCACCTCCTCCTCCTCCTTCTTCTTCTCCTCCTCCTTCTCCCCCTCTTCTTCTTCTCCTCCTCCTCCTCCCTTCCTCCTCCTCTTCTTCTTCCTCTTCCTCTTCCACTTCTTCTCCTCCTCTTCTTCTTCTTCCTCTTCCACTTCTTCTTCTCCTCCTCCTCCTCTTCTTCTTCCTCTTCCCCTTCCTCTTCTCCTCCTTCTTCCTCTTCTTCTTCTCCTCCTCCTTCTCCTCCTTCTTCCTCTCCTTCTCCCTCTTCTTCTTCTTCTCCTTCCTCCTCCTCCTCCTCCTCTTCTTCTTCTCCTCCTCCTCCTCCTCCTCCTCGAAGCAATGGATGGAAACTAATCAAGGAGAGAAGCAACTTCTCATTAGTTCTAAGGAGAAATTCCCTGACAGCTAGAAGAATTAATCCACGGAACGACTTGCCTCCAGAAGTTGTGAATGGCTCCAACACTGGAAGTTTTTAAGAAGAGATTGGATAAACCATTTGTCTGAAGTGGTGTAGGGTTTTCTGCCTAAACAAGGGGTTGGACTAGAAGATCTCCAAGGTCCCTTCCAACTATCCTATTCTATTCCTCCTCCTCCTCCTCCTCCTCCTCCTTTCCTCTTCTGCCTCCTCTTCCCGTATTTATGGTTGCAATGTTACATGATCCCTTTTTGCTCCCTTCTGACAAGCCAAGTCAAAGGGAAGAAGCCCGATTCATTTTACCACCGTGTTACTAACTTAACAACTGTGCCAAGAAAGGTGTTAAAAACCTGTCTCGCTTAGCAGTGGAAGTTTTGGGACTCAAATGTGGCCGTAAGATGAAGATTTCCTGTACAGGTGGCGGATAGCTCCTCTGACACACCTGCCTCCTTCTTGGCTCTGTAGGAGACCAGGCAGATTTTTTCCCAGGTTAATCCTCAACAGATTAAATAACTATTTCCCACAGTGTTCCTGCAGTAAACCTAAAATCCAGTGGTTTCCATTTATCCCTGTGGAAGGCAATCCTTTCCCAGCGCCTCGGGGTCCATTCTCAGCATGAATGGGGTAGAGGACAAAAGAGGGCAGCCAGAGTTAATCCCAGCTAAAGCAGCTGCTAAATTCCAGCTTGTAGGAGGAAGACCCCTAACTCCCTGGGAAGTCACAGATGAAGAGAAGGGCAAGAACGCGGAGGGTTAACATGCCAAGCCTTCACTTCAATCCTTCAGGATTTGGGAGTAACGACGCGAACCTTTCGGAATCTTTAGGAGTCAAAGGAGAAGAAAATACAGTCCAAAAAAAAATTTTTTTTTTTTGCAGCCCTTCCCACCTTCGAATAGTGGATTGAGAAGCTTCAAGATTCCTGGCCAAATCTTCGGATATTTATTTTAGGGTGGTGGGACTTTGAAGCGGGGATGATAGTATTTTGATCAAGGAGAGATTCAACCTGGAAATAAGGAGAGATTTCCTGACAAGGAGAGCAATCAACCCATGGAACAGAAGTTGCCTTCGGAAGTTGTGGGAGCTTCATCCCTGGAGGCTTTCAAGAAGAGACTGGACGGCCATCTGTCAGAAATGGTGTAGGGTCTCCTGCTTGGGTAGGGGGTTGGACTAGATGACCTCCAAGGTCCCTTCCCACTCTGTTAATCTGAATCTATCGAAGATGATCAAAGATCTGGAGACTAAAACATACGATGAACGGTTGCAGGAACTGGGCATGGCTAGTCTAGTGAAGAGAAGAGACCAGGGGAGACAGGATAGCAGTCTTCCAATATTTGAGGGGCTGCCGTAGAGAGGAGGGGGGTCAAGCTATTTTCCAAGGCACCCCAAAGTCAGACAAGGAATAATGGATGGAAACTGACCAAGGAGAGATTCAACCTGGAAATAAGGAGAAATTTCCTGACAGGGAGAACAATCAACAGAAGATGGATTGGTGGGAAGGAAACAGCGTTCCGTGCGCCTTTGGCGTTGAGTCATGCCGGCCACATGACCACGGAGACGTCTTCGGACAGCGCTGGCTCTTCGGCTTTGAAAGGGAGATGAGCACCGCCCCCTAGAGTCAGGAACGACTAGCACAGATGTGCGAGGGGAACCTTTCCCTTTCCCTTTTTAAGGACTCTAAGCTGATGACAAGTTTAACTCCACCTCCTCCAGCTTTGCCTGCTCTTCTACATCAAGCAACAAAATTTACCTGCAGGAGAACGACCAAGTTCAAAGGACCACCAAGGACCCCACAAGAGTTAGGGGAGGTCTCTGCTACTTGTAGTTGGGTGTCATCTCCTCTTCCAGCCCCTTCCCTCCCCATGTTATTTTTTTTTTTCCTTTCTTTCATGGCAAGCCAAGTCTCCCCCGAAGACGCTTCTGTGATCTGCAGCAGGCGGGAAAGGATTAGTGCGAGCAGAGTCGGTAGGCTTTGGCAAACAGAGCCCAGCTTGGTTTCAACATCTAATTCAATTTGTTCTGCTGGGATTGAAATGCTTGCCAGTCAGATGTTCGGGGTTACCAGGGGTTGAGAAATGGGGAGAGGATAGCTGGGGGTGGGGGGCAAGGGGGGTGCAAGAGGAGAAGGGAAGCGACGCTCTTCTAAAAATCTTAAAAAGAGTTTTATGGAAATCAATGTAACCTTTTGGGTTTTTCTTTCGCGCCTTCTTCTCTTAGAATGGTCCTCTTTTTATTCTCCTTTTTTTAGGGCCTTGAAGATCTTGTCATTGAAAAGAATTTATTTGGGGAGGGTCTTTCCGCGCCTTCGTTTACCGAAAGCTCTTTTGGTGGTTGAAGGGTAGTCCAGATAGGAAACTCAAACCACGAATACTAACGCTGCCTTGATAGAGACTCCGCTCTCATTCCTCCACTGGACTTAGTTTTTCCTGACTCTTGTCTAGATTTGCAGCTGTCCCTCCTGCCTCCCAAGGTCCTTCTCGCAGCCCATTACAGGAGAGATGGAGGGAGGGAGATACAAGAGAGAGAGAGAGAGAGGGAAGGGAAGGGAAGGAGAGAGGGAAGGGAGGGAGGGAAGGAAGGAGAATCTGCAAGAAAACAACTAAGCTCAGAGAGGACCAAGGACCCCACAGTCCTCCCCTCCTCCTCCTCTCTCCTCCTCCTCTTCCTCCTCCTCCTCCTCCTCCATCTCCTTTCCCCTCCTCCTCTTCCCCCTCCCCCTCCTCCTCTTCTTCCTCCTCCTCCTCCCCCTCCTCTTTTTCTCCTCCCCCTCCCCTCCTCTTCCTCCTCCTCCCCTTCCTTTCCTCCTCTTCCTCCACCCACTCCTCCTTCTCCTCCTCCTCCCACTCCTCTCCCCTACTCTTCCTCCTCCTCCTCCCTCTCCTTCTCCTTCTCCCCCTCCTCTCCCCTCCTCCTCTTCCTCCTCTTCCCCTTCCCCCTCCTCCTGCTCTACCTCCCCCTCCACCTTGTAAGGAGATTCCCATTTTATCTCCCTAACACAAAATACCTTGTGAAATAGGTTGGGCTACGATTTGAACTGGTTTTAATAGCTTTATTGTTTTTAAATATCCTGGGGCGGGGGGAAAGAGAGAGAGAGGGAGAGAGAGAGTTTTGTTGTTGTGGTGGCGTTTTATATTTTAACTGCGCAACAGCAGTGTCACACAGCAGTGAATCACAGCCACGAGGCCGGCGGGCTACACAACAGTCCTCGGTTATAAGACGGGTGGTCATCCGACTCGATTCTCAGCTCCGGCCGGGTTGCAAAAAATAAGTCAGGAGGCTACACAGGTCTCCGTGTCGGCCGAAGGGATTTGCTGCCGAGTTCTCCGGGCCCGATCGATTTGACAGAGCTTTCCCTCCAGGGAGCGAAGGACAAAGGAAAGGAAGAATTTAAACCCAAGATGTGTTAATTGGATTAGCAGCTTTCCCCGGCCTAGCTGGGGAAAGGATCACCGCCGTTCCAAACCCAGCATTACCATAAAGGGAAGTCCTGGTTTGTTTGTTGCCAACCCAGGGGATGCCAGACTGTTTGGGTGCTGCTTTTATGTATTTATTTTTATTTATTTATTTGGCATGTCGCACCCGTGGGGTAAACAGTGCCTTTGCCAGGCTGACATCCTTTCTCAGGCGCCCGGTGTCTTCGCGGTATATCGAAGCAGCGTGTTTTATCCGCGGCCTTCTGTTTTCCTTTTCAAATATATTCATTTCAGGAGCCGGAGAGAGGATGAGCGGAGGGAGGGGTGTGTGTGTGTGTGTGCGGGGAGAGAACAAGAAACGGCCTAGCGGGGAGCTTGGCGATTTCAGATTTATCCATTCATGAATAATAATCAGGCTGAGTAATTCACAGTAAATGGGTATCCAAATTGGCTAATAAGGAAGGCTTTCACCTCAAACTGGAATTGGGCAAGGGACCGAGAATATCAACAGACGTTGGCTACGGCGCGAACGGGATGTGACCTGAATCGGCGAAATATGCAAACCGAGCCTCCGCGTGCCAGCAAAATAATAGGCGGCACTCTGTTAGCAGGCGGACGGAAGAGAAGCTGAGCTGGCAAGGTTTGACAGCTTAGCAGCTTTCCGTCGGGGGCTTCCCGTTGGCAGAGCACGCCTTGGTTAACGTCTTCAGGCGGAGGGTCGAAGATTTGGGGCAAAACCTAGACCTTCTGGTTAGAAGGATGAAAATGAAAACTGCAGGGGGGGCGGCGAGAAAAAGGCGGCCTAGTTAACGTCCGATGGGTTGATTCATCCAGAATGGGGAAGCCCCCCCCCCCTGGAAGCCCCCCCCCCTGGTATTCAGCCGGTTCGGGCGAAATGGTAGTAGCGACCGGCGGGTAGGGCCCACTCGTCGGTCGCTATGCCGGCCTATTTAGGTACGTTTTCAAGCTGAGCGAAGCGTGTGCATGGAAGGACGTGTGTGAGCCAAACGCATGCATACTCACATTTGTGAACCGGTAGGGAAAGTAAGCAG